TTTCTGGCACTGATCCATGGGCCTGCAGGGTAGGGAGGGAAGAGACCCTGAGAGCTTGCTGGGGGAGGAACAGGGGGCTCCCAGGGGAAACTGAGGCAGGCAGGCAGTGCCCCTCCCCCACTCCCCCCCTCTGCAGGTGCTACCTCAGAGCTCATCATGGTCACCAGGGGGGACTTCATGGGGCTCCTGGCAAGCGGCTGGGGTTTCCAAGTGCAGCATGTACTCGCAGCGGCTGGGCTCCGTGGCTGCTGTCACCACCGTCTCCTTCCCACACAACAGCTTCACCTGTGGTAAGGGGAGGCAGGGGCACAGGCTACAGCCCAGTCCTGCTAGGGCTAGCAGGGAGCAATTCCCAGCAGTGGCAGGGGAAGGGAGGGGGGGCACTCACACTAGTGCTGTGAACAGGGTGGGGGCAGGTGGGGGGCAGGGGCAGGTCTCACCATGGTGCTGCGGGCAGGGCCCTGCCAGCAGCCCGTCCCATGCTCATATTTCATGACGCTGAACCGGTCGTCCTCGGTGCCAGCCCAGGAGCCCCACCTCCTGGGGGTATGGGGGGTGGGGGGCACAGGCTGCATCAGCCCCTCTCCAGGAGCATCTGACCCCAGCAGCACAAGGTGGATTGGCAGGCATGGGGGGTGCCAGCACAGCCCCAGAGGGTGGAGGGAGAAAGGGGGGGGGGGGTAGCTCTTACCCTAGGTTGGTCTCAGACCCTCCGTGTTTCGGCTTTTGGGACACTCTCTTAAAGGGACAGAGCCGGTAAATGTATCTGTCAGGGGACAATGGGGGAGAAGCAGTGAGACCCGAGCCCACTCCTGTGGGGGCTCACAAGCCCAGTCTCCCCCTCAACATTAAAGCTTCGTCACTGCTGTGGCAGCAGGTTTTCTGAGCCCCCTCCCCTCTGGATGGGCCCCAAAGAGGCTGCAGGGGACCTGTAGCTTGTCAGCTTCTCCCCAAGATCAGGAAAGAACCCAGGAGTCGGCTCCCAGCTCTAACCCCCAACCTTTCTCCCTGAAACTCTCATCCCCCTCCCCGCCCACCCATCCCCAGGCTGGGCCTAGAACCCAGGAGTCTGGACCCCTAACAAAAATGAAGACAACTGAGCCAGGCCCCTTCCACAGGCCTCCCATTGCCCCTCACTGCCCTCCCCCAGCACCTACTCGCTAGTGCTGAGCTCATAGCACTGGCTGTAGAGGTAGGAGAACTCCCCATGGGGGCCGAAGTCAAAGGAGATCTCTTGCTCCAGGTTCCTAGAAGGCCGAGAAGAGGGTGGGGGGGGTCAGCTCATGCTATCCCAGGCTTGGCACCCATCCCTGTGTCCTCTTGGGGGGGAGGCAGAACAGGCCATGGGCCCATGACAGAGGTGAGGGGGGGGAGAGAGAGAGAGAGAGAGAGAGCGCGCAAGCGAGCTGGCTGGAGATAGGACCCAGGAACCCTGGAAACCCACAGGGCTTCTCCCCTGCTCAAGGCAGGGGAACAACCCAGAAATCAGAGCTCCCCAGCTCAAAAGCAGCTCCTGCCCTGGTCCTCCTACCTGATGGACTCTTCCACCTCCTTCAGGGACCGCTCAGCTTCCTCAAACTCCTCCCGCGCCTTCTGGGCAGCTGCAAAGGGAGGTGGGAGGAGATGAGAGGGGAGGGGTGGCAGGCCTAGGATGGGAGGAGTTGCCCCCTCTCCCCGCTTCAGGTTCCAGCATTCAGCCTGAGAGGAGAGAGCAAATCCAAGAGCCTTGGCAACTCCCACGCTTTGCTCACTGCCTTGGGGATTCACTGCCTGCCCCAACAGATACCCCAGGCCTCTGCCCCTCTGCAGAGAGGGGACCCAGGTGTCCAGGCCCCCAGAACCAGGGGAAAACCCAGGCATCTGGGCCCTCAACTCCCTCCCCAAGCCCTTTTACTCCCAGCTCAACCCTCACTGGCTTGTAGCCCATCAGTATTGGTGCCACGGTGCTGGTGAGTGCAGACATGTCCGACTGCTGACCCTTGGGGGCTCCCATGTGTGGCATGTGGGAGGGACACATGTGAGACCAGCTGTGGGAGGACCTGGGGGGACACACACAGAGGGCAGACCCTTCCGGGCCTGTCTCTGATGTCCAGGGTGGGACATGCCCCTTCCCTACCGTCAATTAGAGCCTGGGTGGCAGCGTCATAGGGCGGCATCTTTTCCTCCTCGCTCTCCTGTGAGGGGGGCTTAGCAGGGGCCACCTGAGGGCAGGAGAAGCAGGGGGGGGATCAGCCCAGGGGATACCCCTGCAGTCCTCCAGCACCTTCCCATTGTCCCCTGGGGGAGCAGACAAGTTGGGGGTGGGGAATCCTAGTGTATACCGTGGGCTCATCCTCCGAGCCTCCCTCATCATCATCTTCCTCTTCCTCCTCATCTTCAGGCACTGGCTCCGGGGGTTCAGCTGTGGGGGGCTCAGGCTCAGGTGCCACCTCAGCTGGACCCTGGGGCAGAAGGAGGCATTGGCACAGCACCCAGACATCAGTGCTCCCTCCATGCCCTCCCCCACCATGGGGATGGAACTAGGCATCTGGGCTCCCAGCACCTCCCACCATGGGAAGGAGGGACAGCCAACCCAGGGGAGAACCCAGGTGTCTAGAGGTCTGTCCTGTTGCCCCTCCCCACCCAGGGGAAAGAAGCCAGGCATCCAGGGCTCCATCCATACACCCCTGCCCACCCCTAGGGGGAAACCCAGGCGTCCAGAGCTCTGCTCCCCGGCACTGACCTCAGACTTGTAGTGTTCCTTGATTGCGGCCCAGACGGTGTCATGGAAGCCGGGCAGGTCAGTCTGCACCGTGTCCCCCAGCAGCGTCTGCCAGACAAGGCTCCATCACCGCAGGCTCTCAGCTGCATCGTGTCTCAGTTTCCCGCCCCCCTGCAAAGGGGGCCTCAGGGCTCCTGTGGGGCCCAGGCTCTGGCAGGGAACAGCTGGTGTCCTGCTTTGATACTGACTCTCCCATCCCCTTGTGCCTCAGTTTCCTCCAGCAGCAAAGTGGGGATGGGGGCTGGATGTGGCTATGAGCTGCTATCACCACCTACTGGTGCCGGTCTAGGGTTGCAAGTGATGGGGGATGGAGGGGGATTGTTCAGAACATCTGGGTTCACTCCATCTCTGAAACAGGAGTGGTACCTAGTGGCTAGACAAAGAGCAGGAAAGGACCTGAGTGTCTAGGCTCCCTATCTCAGCTCCAAGAAGGAAATGGGGACTAGTGATTAGGGACAGCACAGATAGGAGTCAAGATGCCCAGGTTCTACCCCTGCTTTAGGAAAAGAATAGGACTGAACAGCTCAGGATAGGATAGGAAAGAGAATCTAGACACCTGGGTCCTCTCCCCAGCAGGGGCACATGGCAGATCCAGGCTCAGCACAACCCCTCCACGGCTGGGGCCTGGGTTCCCCC